AACCATGAAGAGTATTAGGGGATGTGAGGACTTCGAGATGGATTCTTGAAAATTCTGCAGATACCAGACGAGGGCATGGTAACTTGTCTCGTTTTCATCTATGGCCACCATCACTTTCTTATCAGATGATCCATTCTCAACTGCCATTTCTGCAACTACCACTAGTACTACGAATTAATGGAAAGTTTCGATGTAAGGCTCGCTTCTACTTTTCTATGATCGTACTTGTACTTCTATTTGCACAGCTGATCATGATACTAGGCTTTGAATGAGTTGACGAATGGGAAAAGGCCTAGCTGTATGGTGTCTAGAGGAGCAAGGAAGAACTGTTAAACAGGTAAAACAGTTAAAACAGGCGGTGGAGCCGTCCATGGATCAGTTTGGACCTTGGTGCTTTGCCCACTTGACAATGTGGATCCCAATTTTCATGGCAAGAATTGGAAAATTGTTGTCAAGGAGGATTGGATCCCTATGTGCTTTTCAAGATTAGACATCTACGGCGCGTACAAAAGTGTCATGCTCGTTGCCGCAATAAATCGATCCTATTGCATGAATTCTTACAATTTTAGTAATATGTCAAATGGATCGGCTATAATGTGAATTTTACAATTTTAGTAATATGTCAAATGGATCGGCTATAATGTGAATTTGGGCAATCTTGTAGGCTATGGCGTCAATTTATATAATACTTATTAAACGAATGGAGTAATACTTATTTGTCCAAATGCAATATTAAACGTAGGGCTGCAAACTAGTCAAATCGAGTCGAATTTTGGTTTAATCGAGTCGAGTCTTGATTTAATTTTATCGAACTCGAATTCGAGCTCGACGAGCTAACAATTTTGAAACTCGGGCTCGAAAGAATAAAAATAATTATTTTATTTTTTAAAAATAAATAAAATAATATTTTTAATAAATAATAAAATATTAAGAATATTTATGTAACTTTACTATTAAATAGAAAATTATATATATATATATATATATATATATATATACACACACACACACACACTCGAATTCGCGAGCCTAACTAGTTTATTTTGAACTCGAATTTGATATTGATCGAGTTGGAGTGGAGCCGCTTGTGAGCCGCGTTTGCACCCCTAATTAAACGAATGGAATAATATCGTGTAGGATGTTCTAGACACCAAAAACTAAAGGGATAATTACACAAACCTTCCCTAAGGATTTTGACAATTTCACTCAACTCCCTTCAGATTTAAGAAATTACACTAACCTCCCTTAATGTGTTAATATGACTACTTCACTTAATAGATAATTCACAATACGATGCAAAGGTTAAATAAAACCAAGAAAAAAAAATCCTATCTCTTTTATTCTCCACCAACGGCCATTTTTCTCTCTCTCTCTCTCTTGTAGGCAACGATTCTTTCTTCCTTTTTCTCATTGTCTCTTTGCCTTTCCTTTCCTTTTACTTTTTCTTTATATCCACATCTCTATTTATTTTAATGATAACTTATTATACCATAATCATCTCTGTTTACTTGAGAAATATGGCACTATTTTACTTATAGGAACAGATTTCATTGTCAACCAAAGATAAATGAATATGATTGTAGCGATGATAAAGAAATTAATAATGCAATTGATAACTAAGAAGCAGGGAAAGGAGGGATTAGTGGAAAAATTATTGGATTGATTATTATCCTAAAAACTTGTGTAAGATGTTAATAAATGCATTTGATTTTCTTTACTTGATTAATATTGTTGCTTTTGGTTTTGTTATAGATGGCTTTACTTTGTTTTATGATGTTAATATTTATTTCTGTAGAGGTCGGAGTATTGTTTTACTAGTGGTAGTAGGTTAGATTATTATTTGTTTTGCGACAGTGTTAGATATTGAATTGAAATTTAGAGTGTGAGTTTGGTTGCTGGTTATCAAGGAAGAATTAATTTTTCAAAAATATTTAAATTGGGATGATATTACAAGACAGATGTTGGAATTTTTGGAGCTAATGAAATTCTTAAACTATTCAAACTATTTGCTTAGAAGGTTTGTAGCATGTTTGAAAATAGTTAGATCTCGCGTTGGAGTTTGAAGTGTTTGCTTGGTGGTGGTATTGTTGCAAATTTGGAAGAAAGTGTTGTGGAAATTAGTTTCTTTTGTTTTTTTTTTATAGAACAAGGATAATTTAGGGTATTTGAGGAAAAATCTAACATGACGGGTCTATTTTGTTACCTAAACAGTAAAAGCAAGAGAACTATGTGTAATTTCTAAAACCTGAGGGGAGCTCTCTGCAATTGTCAGATACTTAGGGGGAGGTTCGTGAAATTATCCCAAAACTAAATAAAATGCTACCAGAGATCTTAATTTGGTTTTTTTTTTTCAGCAGCAAGAAACATTTATTATAATTGATTTGTCCGAGCTTGCATGAATTCCCCTTCACCCCTCACCCCGCCCACCACCCCCAAAACAACAACACACACACACCAAAAACAAAAACAAAAACAAAAACATGAACATGATTATGATTAGATTTTGCGGCCATAAACCACATGTTAAAAGACCCATCTTTTTCTTGTTTATCTTGTATTTGTACTTTAGCAGGTGAACACGTCACGTTCATGGAATGTACAGGTATCAAAATCATCCAAAGGAACACTAATGAGAGCGTTTGATTTTAGCTGGAAACTAAAAACAGGTAACTCATAAGTCCTTCGTTCCGCTCTGTACAGTCAACTTAATTATAAAGAATTCTTTTACAAGTCTTGAGCCATATGGGCTGAGAGTTGCATTCCATGATGGAAGATTCTTTTGAACATTGGGGGCTTCCAATATTCATGCCTCATCGTTACTTTGATCCCAATTATATTTATAGAACAATTTACACTACAGGGTTTGAATTTTGAAACCTTACAGCCTTAGACAATTTTCAGCTAAGGAGGCGAAAATCATAAAATCATGCATAAATTCATGTACCTAACTTGTAAGGAACTACAGTATATAATTTCTGTCCAAATTGGAAAGTTGTTCAATTTGTTCTATGTCTCCACAAAATTTGGATATCAATTTTTTTCAAATAATATTTCGCTTGTATTATAAACATATTTCCCAACTCACTTTTTTATATTTTCAACCACTTTTTTATCTCACATATATTACATCACAAAAAGTGCTACAGTAATTATTCCAAATAATATTTGGAATAATGCCTATATCCAAACAAACCCAGTAGCAAAAATATTCACACCGCGCTTCCATGTAAAAAACTATTGAGCTTTGGCTCAATAGCCACCAAAAAGGGATTTAAGTCTTTCTTTGGCTGTAGGTCGAGGGTTCAAGCCCCACTTGTAGTCAAAAAAATCCAAAGGAGTTGCCAGAACACTTTTTTGATGTAGTCGAATCGGTAAACCTGCTAGCCTCTTAGGTTGACTTTACTCACCCATTTATACCCATTTAAAAATAATTATACATTTAAACTCAACTTTTAATAAGTGTCAAGCAAATAAATTTAAAATTTTTAACAAACTAATAACAATAAAATACCGTTATTTCTTATTAAATAACATATAACAATAAAAAAATAAGTAGAATTTAAGTGACTCATAAATGGATAATTGAATATATCCATACCAATTTATTAAATGGATATCTATTTATATCCATTTATTTAATTAGATATAAATGAATCGATCCAATTACATCCATTATCCAATTATAACATGTCCAAACCAGCTCGAGTCACACCTCTAGATCGTACTTTAACCAACTTCTTCAGTGCTTCAATCTCACATGGTTAACCATTGGGCATTTACACTAGGTTGGGGATTCAAACTCCGCTTAGTGCAGAACAAGTATAATGTGGTACGTGATTCACCCTCAACTACCATATATAAGTATCTTTAAGCTGTGTGATTATTGCACTCATCTAGTTTGGTGGTTCATTTTTCAACTCATATATGTGCTTCTTTAGGCTTCCCCTCCCCCTCATAATGTGTAGATAGATTATATTATTGTTGCGAGAAAAAACAAGATTTCGTCATATTACAGGAAACCACTCTGTCAAGATGTGCTCGATATTCGAACTGATGAAAATGATATTTGGCCATCTCACAAAGGCAGCCAGTGTTAGTTTAACAACACTACTACTGATAAAATCTTTTGTCATTTTCCAAGGATGCGGGAATATTAGGTATTGCATTACTTAAGTAGTCGGTGTCAAATTTAAAAAAGAGAATAAGTGGATTTAGTCTACAATTGAAGTTTGAAACCCTAGAATTTACCAAGCCCTCCAATCTCATTAGCTGAGAGGAAAGCTATTTACGATTAACAGGAGGCCAGCAAGATACAAGGAAAACCACTTTTACTGGGAATGAGTGGATTTAAGAAAATCGGAACACTTTTTCGAGTTGTATCGATCGAGTAGATTAAGACATCCATTAATAATAACAGTAATAATAAAGAGAACAACCATACACGTGGAAATCAGGACTTATTGAACGGAGAATTTGATCAAGTGATTATGATGATATATTCAGGCAAATCAAAAGTTGCTGTCGCCACAGCATTCAAACTCTACTTGTGAAGGATTGGAGTTACTGGACCAAAAGATTCAGAAAAGAATCACATTTGCAGCTTCTCAGGTTCAAGGCACTATCGAACCTGAGTTAGACAAGTGAACCAGACCAAAAATAAAGAACCTACAACAGCTTGCAAAAATCAAAACATTGATACCTTTTTTTTTTTTTTTTTTTTTTTTTCTTGGGTGCAATATTTCCCTCTTCATGTACCTACATCAATATGAACTTTAACAGGAAAAACAGCTGCTTTGCCAAAAACAGTTGTAAAATATAGAAAATAAAGCAACAGAAGTGATGGCATTTGTTTTCATTTACTCCAGCCATACATGCGCGTATTCTACAAGACTTGTTATACTTTATCAACAGAAGCCAGACCTTGTTACACACATCTTTAAAAGATTTTACAAAGGACTTTTATTTCTTCCAAATCATGTACACTAATTACAGGAACAGCTCTTTCTAAACTTCTGCAAAACTAAACTGCAGCTTTAGTACTATAGCTCAAGGTTTCTTCACTACAAGAACCGGGCACTTCATATTGTGAACGCAGTAATTGCTAACACTCCCAAGAAAAGCCCTGTTGGATTTCCATAGAATGTATAAGAAACGTGCGGTGAAGGAAGATTGGCATACTTTCAATCTCCCACTTCATTAATTGAGGGAAACTTCTTCTAAAGACAGCACACTTCGGAAAAATCCAAGAACAGGGTATTTTGATCTAATTGAAAAGACCTAATCTTGGTTGAAGGACAGATGCAACACGCAAGAATGATAGATACTAATCAGAGGTAAAAGAAGTATGATGAAGAAAGAATTGCATGTGAAATTCTTCCACGTCATGATCATTTTCTAGCTTAAGGGGCCAAGGCTAGTCTTGGACCACCAATGAGTTGCATATTGAAGTCATGGCTATTTCATGAAGTTAAAATGCTAAACCTCTTCAGAGCACCTCTACCATGGCTGCCTACCACAAGCAGTTGAATATTTAGCCGTTCCACTGCCTCCTCTCGTATTGCATCTTTTGGATCTCCAACGTCTGTAATTGTTTCTGGAGTTATCTGAACAGGGAAAAAGTTTTATCAAGAATAGTTTGAGAAGCTTTTTAGGCACAACTATGACAATTTTCACGCATTTAATTGATCCCATACAGAAAAAGGACTAGAGGACAGAACCATCAAGATCAGTCAATTAAACTACTTAATTATCTTCTCCAAATTTAAATCATTCTGATAACCTACGCTAATGAACACCATCTTGTTTACATACACACAAACTTCTGGCTTTTATTTTAAATGAGATGCACATACTCCTTAACCTTAACCAGAGATAACAATCTCATAAGTATCATTAAAATTTCTACCCCATGCCTGATGCAAATCTCCCGGGCATTCTCCAACAAGGAAGCAGCAGTCTTCTTTTGATCCTCTTGAACTTCTCTCCCCACCTCTGGAGCTGCAAAAAGTCCAAAAATAAATAATGAGTAAAGAGCACTGACAGATTCGTTGAATATACTTTGAAATCCCAACGCTATGTAAAGTGCAAGCAAGGCGATATTAAAGCCAGAAATGGATACTAGCATATACTACTATTCTCCAAAGCAAAAGCCTTAAGCAGATGAAAATTTTCAACCATGTCAAAGATGAAACTGGTCGCAGATCAAATGAGTTCTTTATCTAGTTGCTACAGAAATCCACTGGTTGCATTTCAAGTCTAGTAATGTCAGAGATACACATTCCTTGAACGCTTTCAATTGTTACGACTTGCGACTCCAGCTCCGTCGAAAAAGTCGCAAAGAAATTTGAAGTCATAGTGATATTACTCTTCAAATTTTTTACCAATTAGGAGTTGAAAATTCTTTCTACTTGTGAATTTTAAGTTCAACCTGAGCAAATTTGTAGGAATTTCAGACACGAGTCAACAACTAACGTATTAGTATGATCCTAGGTTCAAATCCTCCCTACTCCCTCCCCGCTTCTTAAATCCAAATCTCCCCTACTATTAATTAAAAAAAAAAAAAGGAACTAGCATAGCAAGGTGTTACAAATGTAAGTATGAATTTGCTTTACAGCAAGAAACCACTATTGTACTCTTTTTTCGGTATTAGAACTTTAAGCACCCCATTTTCACGCGATTTCCCAAGAACTTAAATGACCAAAAGATGGCATTAGACAACAAGAAATGGCAGCACTTACGTTCGACAGCATGGATATAGCTATACTCAGATGAGGGCTGCGCAGTGAAAATCACCAGGTTGGAATTTGATGATTGAGTCGTGCAGATTCTTGAGAGTCCACTCCAATGCATAGAAACTTCCTTCATGCTCATCAACGGCCAACATTACCCTTCTAATATCCTCACGGACCTCAACAGTCCCCCTCGCAGCGCCCGCTTCCATGATTGCTAAGCTATTCGATTTATTATTGCTTCCCCACAGCAGAAATACTGCAACAATTCTCTCTCCTGAAAAGGGGCGGTGCAATTTTTATCCAGAAGAATAGATTCATAAGGAAAAGGAAACGACAATGCAAATCTGGAGTTCGACGGTCAGGGGACAAAGTAGTATTAACGGCAGGGGTTTTGGCGGGATATATTTAACTGACGTTAATTTCCTGTTACTGCACCTGAAATCTCACGTGCTGTTCCATGCCAGTCCAAAATCAGAAAGGCTCAAGAGTCTATACGCCAGCCCAGTCTATAGCATTATAATGGGCTCAATACTTCCGGTTTGTGTTGGGCTGGGAGAGGGGTTTATACCTAGACCCATAAAAGACTAACACTGTATACAGTGTTATAATTGGACGCACGATACATTAATAATAAAATATTTGTACTTTAAATTTGTACGTATAGAAGATTAATCCTTATCTTTATCGCATTTAGGAAAAAGAGGATTGAGAAATCATTATGAGGAAACAAGGCTTCATTAGAAAATTCGTGGCTATAAATCGATGATTTCACCAATTTGTCAAGCAAGTTCAGCATTTTGAGGCATATACCTTGTAATTTGCAAATTATGAAACAATTTGATGATAAATGTAACTGCAAATTGTTAAACGACATTGATGAAGTTTATAATTTCCCCCATACGCAACATCATGGTTTTAATAAAACTAGTTTCTTCGAAAGAACTTATTTTTATACTTCTTTAATAACATGCACAATATAATTTCTTATTTCTTAGTACTGCCATCAACGCTATTTTACCATAAGAGAATATGGTTATTATCACACCTAGGACTGCAAAACGAATCGACCCGCTCTCGAGTCAAGCTCGATATTAATCGAGCTCGAGGCGACTTGAGTCAAACACGAGCTCGAGCTCGAGCTCAGAATATTAAGCTCGTTAGCTCGCGAGCTTGGGTATATATATATAGGGGTGTTTCGCGAATCGAACCACTCACGAGCGACTCGAATACGAGCTCGACTCGAGCTCGTCAAAATCGAGTTCAAGTCGAGCTCGAACCAATTAAGTCGATCTCGAGCTCGAGCTCGAGCTCAAAAACATTAAGCTCGTTGGCTCGCGAGCTCAATTATATATTTATTTTTTATTTTTTATTTTAATAGTAAAATAACATATATATCCATAATATTTTATTGTTTATTAAAAAATTATTATTTTATTCATTTTTAAAAATAAATAATTATTTTTTATTTTTTAAAAATAAAATAATAATAATAATTTTTTTTTATTTTTTAAGCTCGAGCTTGATATTTTGAGCTCATCGAGCTCAAGCTCGAGTTCGAGCTTCACAAAATTAACTCGAGTTCGGCTCGATTAGTCAAAACTCGACTCGAGTTCGGCTCGTTTACACCCCTAATATATATATTTTTTTATTTGTATTTTTATTTAATAATAAAATTATGTATATTATATATTTTTTATTTTCATAGTAAAATTACGTACATATCCTTAATATTTTATTATTTATTAAAAAAATATTATTTTATTTATTTTTTTAAAAATAAAATAATTATTTTTTTAAAAATAAAATAATTATTTTTTATTTTTTTTCAAGCTCGAGCTCGGCTCGACTTGATTCGAGTCGAGCTCGAGCTCGAAATTTGCCGGCTCGTCGAGCTCGAGTTTGGTAAAATTTAGTCAAGACTCGGCTCGATTAGCTCAAAGCTCGACTCGGCTCAACTCGTTTGCAACCCTATTCACACCATAAACATATTTCATGCTTCATGTGTATCGCTTGACATGACATGTGATATACTTACACAAACAATTAGACAATAAACATAATATAGTCCACGATAATTACTCGGTAATAGATAATTGACACTGAGATAATTGCTTGGTGATAGATAATTGATACTGACGCTGCACGCTATGGCACCACTGCCAAATAGCATACATGGAGCATCTTGCATATTTGTTGTCATCTTCCTTTAGCGGAGACACTTGGAAGCATAGCAAGGATGAATGAAAATTGCATACAAGTCTTCCTCCATTATTTAGGATATCCGTTTCCTGGGACAATTTTTTTTACTGTTCACTGCATCTTCATAGAACTAACACAGGATAACAAACTAGTTTAGCGAAATCTGGGATGTACAACTTTAGGAGTATGCACCCTTCACTGGTTTTTGCAGCGAAATAAAGTTTAACACGATTTACAGCCAGCTCTTTCAATCTTTTTTCCTTACGACAAGAACAGGGGTCTTGGCATTGTGGATGCAGTAGTTGCTGACACTCCCCAGAAAAGCCCTGAAATTCAAGTTGCAAATTAACTTCCATCAGTCCAATAGGCAAACAGGACAATGCCACAAACCAGACACTCATCTATGGACAATGCTATAAGGTCTATGATCAATGCTCCAGACTCTGAAACGTGAAACTCATACATAGTGAAAGATAGATCCTTGAAAGGTATTCCAGAATCTGCATGTTTTTGTGGATTGCATTTTCATTTCTTAGAGATGGAGCCTCAAATATGTATAAAAGGTGGCAAGACTGACCTCTTTATGGCTCCCCGACCATGGCTGCCCAACACTAGCATGCTGACTTTGAATTTTTCTACTGCTTCACAAATAGCATCTTTAGGATCTCCCACTTCTGTTGCTGTCTGAGCAGTTACCTGAGATTTCAAGAAATTGAGCTTCCAATTAAAGTGCATCTGTGAACTTCAAATCAAATGTGTTACAGTTGCTACACCAATTAGTTTGCTTTACAACCATATAACATGATGCCTTCCTCAGGGAAGTTGGATTTAACCCTAACCCTAAGCATAACTGAAAAATGAAAAGCGTCTGTTTGGTACTAAAATCTAAGGAAATCACAATTAATAATTAATGACTGTTAGTGATTCCTTACCCCATGTTTGGCACATACATCCTTGGCTTTCTCCAGCAAAGCATCTGCTGCTCTCTTTTGCTGTTCTTGAAAGCTCTTAACGAGTTCAGGTGCTGTAATAGAAACCAAATATGTGAAATTAGGCACCTCCAAAAACAGCTAATTCAAACGATAATCCGTTTGGATTAGCTATTTTTGGAAGTGCTTTTAAAAAATTTTACTGTAGCAGTGTATATGAAAAATTTTTACTATAAAATTTTTTTGAATTATTTGATATATTGTATGGATAAAATGTTTTCGAGTTATTATATATTACTGCAGTATTGTATTTTAAAAACTTGGTTTTAAAAAAATAGCCAATCCAAACGGAAAAGATTTCTAAGTCCTAAGACAAGAAACCGAAAAAGATTTACGATTAATGAACATAATAAAAATTAAATCGAGGCCATGTTTTCAGTTCAGAAGCAGTCACTTCTGATAAGCAGCCTCAAATTACAAATATTGCTGAACCTTCTCAGTTAGACTTGGGGCAAGCTTTAAGTACCTATTAGTATATTGCCAAACAACTCAGGCAGGCTTTTCCAATCCCTTCCACGGCCTTGATGAAGGCCACCTAACACCAAATCACTCTCATTTTTTCCACCACCTTATCAAAAAGTTTGCACCTATTTTCCGTTCCATAATCCATGGGTCATAGAGCCAGGGTATTAAATGTAAAAACTAAAACTGAAGCTGCCATTCAGGTATAACTTGCATAGCTAGGGAAATTAATTAGTCACGGATAACTCTTAATGATCTGAAACACACACCAGGAAGCACTCATCAAAGATTAATGATTAATCAACATTTTCCATTCATCAGACCCAAAACAAATTTAAAAAAAAAAAAAAAAAATTCATACACGAGACCAAAAATCGGATATTTCGGAATAATTAAAAAGAGAACCAAGAGGGAAAGAAACTCACTGGTAGCGCCCATGGAAGATGCATGGAGATAGCTATAATCAGCTATTGGCTGTGCTGTAAAAATCAACAACTCCGAATTTGCAATGGATTCGTGAAGGCTGCTAAGAGTCCATTCCAAGGCGTAGATGCTACAATCACTCTCATCAATCGCCACCATCACCTTCTTTTTCTCACCTGTACTTGGATTCCTCCCCTCCTCCATCTCTCTTTGGTGAAACACTCTACTATCACAACAGAATTCTCTCTCTGCTTTTACTAGTCTCAATAAATCTAAGACTTCCCCTCTTTTTCTTTTCTTTTCTTTATCAGTAGAATTATTTTATCGGTAAAACGTCCGCAGATGAACTAGCGTTTTTAGTCTTATCCATGTAGATGACAACTTTTAGTATGCAGTTTTATATTAATGCAATGGAGATCTGCGTCGGAAGTTCTGGATTCTGTGTGCTCTCTCTGACACAGCTTATTTGTTTTCGTCACAACCACTGGTTTTAGCTGTTTGACCGACCAACATCCAGCTGTGAAGCACGTGAAACTCACGCCCTGTGGTGCATCATGTGGGAATTATTTTAATGAGCCTTTTGCTGACCCTGTCAAAAAATAAGGGAAAATGAAAAGAAAAGACTAGTTGCGGATTAATCGACGGTAACAAGTTTCATACGTTAATCAGTCACGATTTGAATTATCAAAAGATAGATGGAATATCTATCATGAATGACAGTGTTGGAACATTTTATTTAAAAAGAAAAAAGGAATAGGCGAAACATCAATTTTTGGAAGGACAAATTTTGAAATTCTTCGTTGTTAACCCAGTAGCTTAGCCCTAGTTTCCACAACCAGCTAATAATTGGAAACTTGATCAATTTAATAATAACTGAAATGTGGTGACAATAACCACCGGCCTTTGGACGGCCGCTAATCACCATTAATGCATTAAAATTTTATGAAGTTGGGAGACAATGTTTCAATCTCTTTACATTAAATCATACTTTCCATCAATTTATTACATTAAAAGTAGCTTTATTTAAAAAATTCAAACTAATATATAATGTACCTGTCTGATCCGAT